ATAGAGATTTGTACTAGTTTATGCTACCTTGACTAATGTCTGACTGAGAAAAGCAAGGCCCATTAAGTGGAGTGTGATGTGATCTCATTTGTATTAAAAAAAAAAAGCGGGATGGAATTAGGACACATACTATATATGCATAGAAAATATTTAGAAAGATGCACTGGAATCAGTCCACAGTGGTTGCTTCTGGGGAGAAGGACTGGGAATTCAGTGGAATGGAAATTTAATGTGAACCATTTTTGTACTGTTAAAGAGTTTTCTATCATCATGTATATTTCTTTCTCAGTTAAAAAACTGATCAGAGTAAAATGTGAGAAAATCAGCTAAGGGAATATATTTGAACGTATGCACCCTTGATTTTTATTTAATAAGTAAGATCTTCAGGAGATTTGAAGTCTGGAATGAACCGCAGTCCATACACGCGAGCAGTAAGCACAGTTGCACGTACGTACCTCGTGGCTGTGGCACTGAAGCATGATCAGAGTGACTGATTGTTATATTGTTGTAAATCGTATACATGCGATCAGATGTCTTCCCCGCAGAGTATAACAACGCTTTGTATTGTGATTTTAAACAAGTCCTCATGCGGCGTGTGCTCTGTTTCCAGTTAGAGATGTTTATGATTATTTCCGGGCGGTCCTGCAGCTCGATGAGAGGAGCGAACGGGCTTTTAAACTCACCAGAGACGCTATTGAGTTAAACGCTGCCAATTACACAGTGTGGTAAGTGATACACATCATGACTGCTCCCTGTCTGAATGTTTCAGGTTTTACTTTGGATAGCTTCTCTTTTTCTTAACTTTCATTTTTATCAAAATGACAATTCACGCCTGAGTTTAAAAGTCAGAGACAGAATGAAAAATAGCGCCCTCTGCCCTGTTCCTTCTCACTGCAGCATCTCACTCCCCAGAGTCAGCAGCTCTTCACTGTTTTTCCTTCAAATAACGTGTATATTCTAAACAATATACTTGGTTGTTTTTGTGTGTATGTGTGTGTGTGTGGAAGATGTAAAGTTGACTCTCCTACAGTGTCCCCATCACAGTTACTGGTTAAATCAACAATCAGCGTATAGGTCACATTGACCCACATTTTGTAGTTTAATTACCTTTCCCTTAACAGATTGCCTTTTGGTTTAGTTTTGTTTTCTTTTTACTAATAAGTAATTTGTCTCCTGGACTCCACTGTGTGTCCGATGTGTCTTGTTGAACACGGCGGGCAGTCCTTCAGTTCCTTTTTTGTTGCCCATGAACTTGGGCGCCATTCGTCTGGTCTTCAGCTCCTTCCTGCGTTGGGTCCCCTGTTTGCTGGAGCCCACATCTTTCTCTTTCTTGATTTACTCTCTCATTTTATTTGTTTACTTACTCTCTCATTTTCTCCTTGAGTAGAAGGAAACTTACAAAAGGATATATGGGAATGTGTTTTTGAGATTTTATATACTTAAAAGTGCCTTCAACCTCTTCTCAACTTTATTAATAGGATTCTAGACTGGAAATCATTTTCCTTAAGATTTTTAAAACAGTTTTTCTTTTAGCTTCTACTAAGAAGATTCCCATTCGTTCATTTTAACCTTTCCTTTAGCTTTGGGGAATTTTTAATATTCTTTTGAGGATTCTCTCCCTCCTGTTTCCTCTCTCTGGAGTGCCTTTCAGCTGCAGGCTGTACTCCTGAGATTGTCTTTTCTTATTTTCATTTCTTTTTCTTTCCTTTTGAGCTATTTCTTCAACTTTATCTTCTAACTCTTCTGTCTGCACTCATTTTTAATTTACAAGAGCTCTTTTTTTGTTTTCTGAATATTCGTCTTTAATGGCGTCTTGTCTTTTATTTCATGGATGGGGTATGTTTTCGTTTTTCTGTGTATTTGTTCTGGTCTCTTTCTTTCATGTAAACATTTTTCTCTAATGATTGGTAAACCTTGGCTCCCCTTTCATACTTACAATGGAAGCAGGAAAAAAATTGCTTTGGCATCTCTGCAGGTTGTAGGATTTGTCAACTACAGGGCCTCACTGTGAAGTGAGTGGAGGTGTGGCTGCTCTGTGTGACATCTCCGTATGTCAGTGTTTCTGGGTCTTTCCTCTTGGCTAGTTTGTTTCTGTGAGGAAGAGCTGTCTGGCTGTTGCCCGAGGGCTGCACATTTGGCCGCCGCAGTCCTGGGGCTCAGTTCTGACGGGAGGATGGGGTGGGGCTATCTAGCTGTTTAGTATATCAGTGTCTTAAGTTTCCTTGTTTCAGCCTTTGCCTCACTCTGCCTTCTGCTGTGCTTGGTATTTCTTTCTGCTTTGGATTTTTCCAGAAAATAAAGCCACTTGTCTCTCACCCTGGTTTTTTAGGAAAAACCCCTGTCCTCCTTCTGCATGTTTTTTTTTTTACTTTCACACAAAAGACTTCACTTCTGGTGCTTCTGGTCACCAAATGTGTGTGGATTTTTCCCGTCCCAAGCAGTTCTCTGTGACACCCCCGGGTGTGCTGCAGTTTTCCTCAGTTCTGACACTGTCCACCTGGAGAAGCATCACGTCCCACAGGTTAAGGGCTCAGTCCCCCAAGACTGCCCCCACCCCAGAGCCGTTGCTTCTGACCGGTGGGCTGTACGTCGGAGAGGCTCCCATGACCCCTCCTTGGGTTCGATTGATTGCTAGAGCCTCTCACAGAACTCAGGGAAGCACTTAACACAGGTTTACCAGTTTATTAAAGGACATGATAAAGGAGATGGATGAACAGACTGATGAAGAGATGCGTAGGGCGAGGTCTGGGAGGGTCCTGGGCACAGGGGCTCCTGTCTTCGTAGAGTTGGGGTGTCCCTCCCCCAGTACAGGGATGTGTCCACCCACCTGGAAGCCCTCTGAATCCCCTACTCTGGGGAATTTATGGCGGCTTCCTCATGTAGGCGTGATCGATTATTGACTCCATTTCCGGCCGGTCTTCTCGGTCTGGGGGTGACACGGGGGAGCTGAATATTCCAAGCTTCTAATCAGGCCTTTGTCTTTCTGGTGACCAGGAGCCATCCAGGGACACCTCAGTAGAACAAGAGCTGCCCCAGTGCTCTTATCACTTGGAAATTTATGAGGGTTGTAGCAGCAGAGGGAAAAATGTGTATGTGTGTACACACACACACACGCATACGTACACACCAGGTCAGGAGATGTCACCTCTCTGCTCAGGGTGGTGGAAGGATCTTGGCTTCTAAGGACTCTTTCTAGACTTTACACTGTTTTCAGCTCCACCCTTGACTCCCTGTTTTCAAAGTGCCTGATACCTCTGATTTCTGAACCTTTCTTCCTCAGTTAAGAGCTTTTTAGCACTTCTGTTTTTCTAAGTCAGTTAGAACTATCAGCTTAGCATTGTCCATAATTCTGTTGGCCTCGTCTCATTGCTGTGGTATCCTCTCGTCCCCAGTTCTCTTTGTCCTTGTGAATTTATATTGTTTTTATTTCTTTCCTATCATTTTAGTAGGATTTTACTAGGGAGTGAGGATAAACTTATATGTTTAATCTACCATGTTTATCTGGAATTATTAGTATTATAGTCCATCAATTTGTATCTCTAATACACGTATTCTTTTAAGAAATTCCTACAAGTTTCTACTGTGGAGCACAGGAAACTATAATCAACATCTTATAGTAACGTATAATGGAAAAGAATTTGAAAACAAATAAATGTGTGTATGTGTGACTGAACTATTACACTGTATGCCAGAAAGTGACACAACATTAACAACTGACTATACTTCAGTTAAAAAAAAAAAGACATTCCTGACTGTACGTAACTTAGAGCAACTTAGAATCCATTTAAAGTTTCCTAAGTTTATTTGCTGTTTTTTTAAAGCAATGTGTCTGAAATTATCCACATAAACCAAGCTGCTGATACATGTCCGTGCTCTGCGAAGCCTAATTTTCTTTAAGCTAATTATAACAGAGAAACACTGTCATTCCTATTCTTAGCATTACATTTTTAAAGTAGTTTTTTGTCTCTTATTATATATTGAGTTGGGAAATTTTGAAGTAAAATTAGACCAAAACTAATCATGTCTTTAGGGAAAAGGTTTTTTAATGATTTGACTTCACCTGTTCAAGAAATTGAGAAATTTGTTTCATTTATAAGTAGCTTTTTTTTATTGAAGTATGGTTGATTTATAATGTGTTAATTTTTGGTGTACAGCATAGTGATTCATTTATTTTTTTATATATTTATACATATATTTCTTTTTCATCATAGGTCATTATAAGATACTGAGTATAGTTCCCTGTACTTAAGTAACATTTTTATGGTGGTTCTAAAAGTAAAATATTTGATAACACTTGTAATGGAATTAATTTATTATATGACTGATGTATCTAAATTAACAAGCTGTACCATTCAGGGAAAGAAATGTTTTTGATTCTTGTATAATGGGACACTGGTAACCAGAGCTTAACCTGAAAGTAATCATTCATTGTTGTCTTTTCTTTTATCTCACATTTGCTTCCTTTCACTATTTTTGCTTCAAAATGCTTGATTCTTCCAGTTACCAGATAGTTGTATGAGTTTGGACAACCACAAGCAGCTAAATTGCTAAATTATTGGTTATACAGAACACCTACCAAAAAAATGCGTCTGACCGTATTGTCCGTATACGTGCTTGCCCCTGTGGCCAGGCAGCTTCTGTGGGGTAACGAGACTGCGGTGCTTGGTGTTTGCTGCAGGCATTTCCGGAGAGTCCTCTTAAAGTCACTTCAAAAGGATCTGCATGAGGAAATGAACTATATCACTGCAATCATTGAGGAGCAGCCCAAAAACTATCAAGTTTGGTAAGATGAAGACAGAAGGTCATTCTTTTTTAATAACCATAGGAGAAGAAAAGGGTTTGGGAAATGCATCTTCATACCGCATGAGAAGAAGAAAAGACGCAGATGTAACATGTATCCTCATTATTTTAGGCATTAAAATATTCAGAACAGTGAAAAAAAAAAGGATATAAGTCACTGTGTAATAGTACCTACCAGTGGGCTACGAAACTATAGGGAATTGTTTGTTTCCTTATAATTTCAGTACTTTGCACTGGAGCTAATGTTACCTGTCTTTTATGGGGTCGTTAGAATACTGACATGATGTCTGTGTTTAGGGCTCAAAGTGGTGCCTGACCCACAGTGAACATTCAGACATTTGCTGCTCCTGGTCTTTAAGACTTCAGCATTAGCATGTGATGCTGCCAGAGTCCGGGAAAAGTGTGGGTGAAAAGTCCGAAAAAAATGTTTTCTATTCACTGTGTTATAAAATGACTCTCTTTCATTCATTTGCTTATTAAAAACTTTGTATTGATGACAAGGAGACAAAGATGAACGAAAGGCAGTCTAAAAGGGAAAGCAAATAATAAAACCAGTTCTTTCCCAGAGCAGTGTGACAAGTATAATGGTAGAGGTTTTGACGGTGTATACAGTAGTGTGTAATCTAGGGATTAAGCCCCTAATTAGCCTAGACGAGGGTATGGGGCTGGTTGTGGGCAGGGAGGCAGAACACGGGGGAAAAGAGAGAAGTTGTAGAGCCGGAGGACAGAGAGCAGGCATGGAAGAAGGAACTTGAACACCACCAGCATGTAGTGAGCCCCCCATGAATGGAAGCTCCTGCGGCTGTTACTGCAGTGATGGAGGTGATGGTGGAGGAGAAGGTGGGGGCGGTGGCTGGGTGGTTGCCGTGGGCGTGCTG